GGGGGGGGGTGTAGATTTTTCCCTTTTCTTTCTGGAAACTGTTTTGTTTCCTATAGAGAGAGAACTATACACAGATAGTAAGACTTTTGCTCTACACAACTCGCTCGGTGTCCAATAAACATTGACTAAAAGTCATTATCATGGTTTTAAATTCAAGCAATAACTTACCCTATTTTCTTTCAATAAGAAGTAATTTGGTGACGATTTACCTATGCTCATATGTTACATTTGGAAATGGGCGATGTGCAACAAGTACCTTTCAGAACTTTTCTTCCTGTGCCTGTCTACAGTTATTATTCTAATCTAGGACCTGATTCTATGATAAATGGAAATACAGACATAGGAGATTCATAACCTTAATAAAACCTTTTTGAAGTTAATGATAACTGTGGGGTGATGAGCATTATGGAAAGACCTAAAACCCAGCAACCGCTCCTATGTGTACCATCTGCATTGTACCACACGCCTGACAATGATCTCTTTCTCCCAGGGAGTGCTCTGTGCTCTGCGGTTTTTACAGAAATTCATATCTACTATCACAATTGTTCTCAGAACCTTGTGAGATAGGCAAGTTCTCTATGATAGAATTTATGATCTACATGTCTGAGAAACAACTTACCGTACCTTAAATACATTATTCTTTCCCTCTAAACCTTAATATAAAAATGGACAGTGACATCTGAATATAACAAAGTCTATGACATCATTTTGGTGCATCTTATTTTTAGATAGCAATGAAAGGCTTAAAATTGCTCTATTTTTTCTCTGACACAACAGATTTTCTATTAATTCTGCATCAGTCCAAAGAGCAAGCACTCCAGGGAGAAGGAATAATTTTTCAGAAAGAAATCAAAGGGATTAATACTCTGGCCAAAACCGCTAAAATCATTTTTCTTCCATGTATATTTACAAGTGTCCCACTGGCTTTCTCAAGTGTGCAAGCTACTCCTTGAGAGGAAGTGGGACATATTTAGAAACTACAGGCCATAGGGGATTCTTTGACACTGAGACAAATTAATGGGATTAATGGGTGTGAGATTGCTAATGAAATTGGTCAGGCTAATTCAGGCATGAGAGAACTTAATTCATTGAGGAAAAGCAAGATAGACGGCAGCAAATTGAAGTGTTCAATCGAGCTCCAAAAGGACATAAATCTTTTTAAATCTAAAAGTGTTTAAAGAAATAAGAAAATATTTATAATAAATGAAACTCATTCTTTTGAAGAATAAAGATAACACTAGTCTTACATCATAGTTTTAAACTCGGGGCAGTTTTGCCACCCAGAGGACATTCAGCAATGTCTGGAGACAGGTTGGTTGTTACACCTAGGTAGAGGCCAGGGATGCCCCCACTCTGCACTGCGGAGTACAGCTCCCGCAGCACAGAGTCCTTTGGTTCAAAGTATCAGTAGTGCCAAGGTGATGAAACCTGGCCTTAGATGAAAATCTTTCATTTTAGTATCAGTAAAAATAATTTCAAAATCTTCTATCATTTTTTATTATGAAAAGTATGTATATCAATATGTCTACCCCAAGATTTTAATGTATCCCTCAAAACTTTGTGAATGGTGGCATTAGATCATTTATAATTTGGTACTTTACCATAAAAAATCATTTGATAAAAATCTATTAATTATCTAGCATTAGAATAGGGAAGAAGAGTTGTGTGTTTTAGGCCAATATACTGATGTGTGCATTTTGCCAGAATGAGTTCTAAGAAGACTTCATAATGGATTGGAAAAGTGAGAGTCCTTACTAGCTGCCTCCATGCTCAGCACATTTCAGATTAATTTGTTAGTGAAGAGACAAAATATTGCTTTAACATCTTGTAATATTTCAGAAGGATCATGTGAGCAATCCCTCCTTTTTAAATTGTTTCAAAAAAGGTCATGCTCCAGCTGATTTGGCTCAGAGGTTAGAGCA